AGGAATTCCCAGCTGGAATTATTGATAATAAAATCGTTTTAAAATCATGGGGATTTAGGGTTAAAAGGAAAATTAAGCTTCGTAGGACCTGAAAAAATAAAATAAATAAATACCCTGGGTATATGTAGGTGCTAGAGCTGCACCTGTGTAGCCAGTAGATAATAAATTATATAATTGTTAGATGTGATGATTGTTTAGTAATTAACTATAATGACTGTTTAATCGTAAGAATAATCATGAGAAACTGTGGCCAGGGGCTTGAGAAAGATCACAAGAAATTGATGCTTGAATAAAGCCAATGTATACAACAGAACAATATAAGTTTAATAATTAATATGTAAGTTAAAACAATATAAGTTTAATAATTAATATGTAAGTTAAATGTAAGAATAATCATGATAAATTGTGGTTGGGCTTGAGAAAGATCACGAGAAACTCGTGCTTGAATAAAGTCAATGTATACAATAGAAAAATGTAAGTTTAATAATTAATATGTAAGTTAAAACAATATAAGTTTAATAATTAATATGTAAGTTATATAGGGATAGAATATAAATTTGGAATTTGGCTCGAAAGCCGTGTCAGAGTCAGATTTGGATCTGGACCCCTGATTCCCAAATCAGGAATCAATAAAAGCATTTCTATAGAATTATATCCTGTGATTGTGTTCCTGAACACTAACCCTAAAAATGGATTATCCCCTAGGAAAAAATAATGTATACCAATGAAAAAATATAAGTTTAATAACTAATATGTAAATTATACAAGGATAGAATATAAATTTGGAATTTGGCTCGAAAGCCGTGTGGGAGTGAGATTTGGGTCTGCAGCCCTGATTCCCAGAGCTCTCAGTAAAAACACAGAATTATATCCCGTGGTTATTTGTGCTCCGAAACGCTGACAGATCCTGGATTTTGGGATTTTGGGATTTTGGGATTTTGGGTTCCCAAAACCCTCCCGAATTCCCGAATTCTCACCAGAAGACGGGGCTGTCGCCGTCCTCCCGCACCCGGTAATACTCGTGGCCCTCGGGGACGGCCTTGGCCAGCCCAAAATCCCCAATTTTCACCACGTGCTCGTTCTCCAGCAGCACGTTCCGGGCGGCCAGGTCCCGGTGGATGTAGTGCAGGGAGTGCAGGTAGGCCATGCCCTGGGAAAAACGGGGGGAAAATGGGAAAAAACGGGGAAAAAATGGAAAAAAACGGGGGAAAAACGGGGGAAAAATGGAAAAAAATGGGGGAAAAACGGGGAAAATGGGGAAAAATGGGGAAAAAATGGGAAAAAAATGAGGAAAAACGGGGAAAAAAACAAGGGAAAAATGAGATTTTGGGGGGATTCCGGAAGGTTGGAAGCGTTTTTGGGGGTGTTTGAGGCGTTTCTGGGGGAGCTGTGAGGTGTTTTCAGGGGTTTTTGTGGGAATCGACCCCATTTTTGGAATTCAGCCCCATTTTGGGAATTCAGCCTCATTTCCAAAGGGTCCACCCCCAAAATTTGGGAATTCAGCCCCATTTTGGGATTCAGCCCCATTCCCAAAGGGTTCACTCCCATATTTTGGGAATTCAGCCCCATTTTGGGAATTCAGCCTCATTTCCAAAGGATCCACTCCCATATATTGGGAATTCAACCCCATTTTGGGAATTCAACCTCATTTCCAAAGGATCCGCTTCCATATTTTGGGAATTCAGCCACATTTTGGGAATTCAGCCTCATTTAGGGAATTCAACCCCATTTCCAAAGGGTCCACTCCTATATTTGGGAATTCAGCCCCATTTTGGGAATTCAGCCACATTTTGGGAATTCAGCCCCATTTTGGGAATTCAGCCTGATTTCCAAAGGATCTGCTCTCGTATTTTGGGAATTCAGCCCCATTTTGGGAGTTCAGCCCCATTTTGGGAATTCAGCCTGATTTCCAAAGGATCTGCTCTCGTATTTTGGGAATTCAGCCCCATTTCCAAATGTTCCCACCCCATTTTTTTGCCAATTCAGCCGGATTTTGTGCCTGTAAACCCTATTTTTGAGTCTTTCAGCCCCATTTTTTTTGGGAACCATCCTGTTTTTTCGGGATCCAGCCCCGATCCGGGCTCACCTCGCAGATCTGCTGGGCAAAGAGCAGGAGGTGGGACAGGCTCAGGGGGTGCTTGGGCAGGAATTCCCGGAGGCTTCCCAGCGGGACGTATTCCATGATCAGCTGCACCACCTTGTCCCCTGCAACAGACAGGTGGGAATGTGGGGACCACCCCTGAGAGCCCCCAAATTCCTGGCCAAAAAAAAAAAAAAAAAGTGGGAATTGGGGTTTTTTTTTAAGCTCTCCGTGGCTGATCCGCTGGAAAATCCCAGGGATTTTCCCCTCACCCTGCTCGCTGCAGCAGCCCTTGTACTTGACGATGTTCTCGTGGTACAGGGTCTTCAGGATTTGGATTTCCCTCTTCCAGGAGCTCAGGAGCTGGGGGCTGCTCCCGGATTTCAGGGATTTCACCGCCACCATCTCCCCGGTGCCGTCGTTGGTGGGGTCGTAGCAGCACAGGCTCACCTTCCCAAAGTGGCCCTGGAGAAAGAAAAATTTTTGGGATGTGGTGGGGAAAAAGCTTTGGGGCTTCCCCGTGCTGGGAGGATTCAAAAAGGACCAACAAAGCTCAGAAATGGAAGGGAAAATCAGCAGGGGAAATAGGTTAAAACATGAAAATAAGGATTAAAAGGAGGGATTTTGGGTCCAGCCAGGGAAATCCGCAAGGAGAGGAGGTTGGAGGGTGGAATTTCAGAGGCAGAGAGGGAAAGGAACATTCCCAGCTCGCCCAGGACCCACGGACCTCCCCCAGCTCCCGGATTTTCTTCAGGTAGCGCTTCTGGAAGACGGTGGGATCGGACACGGGGCAGTCGGGATTCACCGACGTGACGTCCACGAGGTCTGCGAGGGACCGAGGGTTTTCCTGCCTTCCCTTTTCCTCCTTTCCCCCAGGATTTCCCCAGGAATTTTTCCCTTTTTTCTGCCCCTCATGGAGCGGCTGCAGCCGGCTCAGCTCCCTCACGCC